CCGAACATCGCGTAAAATGTGTCGATCGTTCTTGTCACGCGAGTACCACACGTTGTGCGTGTTGTACGCATCGCGAGCGCACACATTACGCATGCTACGCACGTAATCTGCAAATTTCACCTTACATTTTCTTTATTTTTCACAAATATTACTTTCTTAGAAAATTAATTTAAAATTATGAGAATAAGATAGAGGGAGAGAGACAATATATATTTTTATATATCGATTAAATTATATATTAAAATCACACACACACACACACATACATAAGGGACAAGAAATTTTCTAATAAGTCATAAAGTTGACTTATTAGAAAATTTCTTGGTATTTTTAATTGAATGATTTTCCAAATTCCTGAACAGTTTTCAATTTAGCAGCAGAATAATGATCCTGAACGGATTACTGTTCTAGTTTCGTCTACACACTCGGACTCGCGTTGCGAGATGATCGCCAACTAACGGTGACATCCAGTGTCATCACCTGACCCTGCATATGCTGTAGCCGTGAACCTCTCTTCTTTATACGCCGTCGACAATGGAAATTCGCGATCGTCTCTCATACGGGTCCGCACGCGATGACCTCGGTACTTCCTGAGGATACTCGCGAGGAGGGAGCTTCCTAACGGGAGCACCATCCTACTTTCCGGCCACAAATTTCCATCTAACGACGTACAATTTATATAACCGCGAAATAGGATACGTATAAAGTTTCACAAGTTTTATATTATCAGATAAAACAAAGATAACATATTCGATAACATATCTACAAAAAATTAGAATTTTCTTTCTCTCTCTCTCTCTCTATATATATATATATATTATAAAATTATATCAGTTGCTTTCTTAGATCTTCTTACACCCTATCTTAGGATACGTCGGACCATCTAACATGATAGACGCATTTCCGTCTAATCTATCCTACCGAGAATCGTCGCTCGTTCACCGATCTTGACAAGAGTCTCGTAAATTTGAGGGACACTAATTCAGTGCGCGCGCATCAGTATAAAGGGTTTGGACATCCCTTCCTTCCCCTTGGATTTTGGATACATCCCCAGGGGTTACGTTCGCGTGCATATCGGCGTGCCAACGAGATTACAGGGCCTGCTCGGGACTTACCTCGATCTAAATCAATCGCGAGTTAAGTGCGCCGAACTGAGAGAGATGCCGTCCCTTCCGATTCTCACCTGTATGTACCCCTATTCTCGTCTCGTTAAATCGATAAAGATGAATAGAAAGATGAAACGTAATTATTTTTCGTTTGAAACATCCATAATGTTTGATTCACATAATGATCGTTTTAAAGTCGTATGTCAACCAAGTACACCGAGTAGATGATTTCGAGAAGAAATTAGACAAGGGAACGAAGAAAAATCTGTCAGCTAAAATGGGGGATATTGTCTAGAAGAAAGATTCGATATTTGCACTGAGAGTGAAAAATTTAAAGGATTTACGCTCGATTATATATGTATTTCATAAAAGAAGGGAAAAGATTGGGGATCGAAACTTATTTTCGTGATTTTTCGCGATATTCAAGACCACAGATCAGCTTAGTAACTCTTCGGGATCTATAAGTTTTTAAAGCCAGTCCATTCTTGTATATCTAGAAGGCTGTTCGCCAAAGACAAGAGATGCAACGCGGCGAGATGCACTTATTGAAAATTATTCCTCGCGTGCGAAGTTTCGAATGAAGACAGGGAAGAGGGAGGAAGGGGAAGAAAAAGGAAAAACTTGACTAGGTAGCCTTCTCAAAATTACGACTGGACAGGAGGCGAACGGCCCGCACATTTGCCTTGACGGGTTAAAACACTTTAGAGGGTAATATCTTCACACTATCCGGCCATCCGGTGTTCATGACGAAAATTGCTACAACGGGGGGCCTCGCCTCGGGCCGTGGCGAAAGAAATTTTCGGCCCGGGGGAATTTTTACGGAAGAGTGTCTAGAAAAGGCGTACGTTCTTTCTGTCTCTCTCTCTCTCTCTTTTTTTTCTCTCTTTCTAATTCTAAATTATTACTCGCCTGCAACTGACCACAACAGACGCAGAGACATATCACTTTCGCAACGATAGTTGAAAGTTGTTTATTATCATTGACAAACTTAAAAGATTTATAGAGAAAATATATTAAACTGTTGTGTAAAGTTTTCAACTTAGAGAAGCAGGCTAATCTTCGAGATTAACCAACTTTAATCATCCGAGAAAATTGTTGCGAACGGAAAATCGTCGGAAAAATTATGGTTAAAAAACTACAGTTTGAAGGGCAAAAAAGATATCACTTTATCGAAAATATATATGTTTTTGTCGCTTATTTAATTTTAATTCTTTACTCGAGTCTACTTATTATTAACGATAACGTTATTTTCCCTTTGCTGCGCTTATCTTTCATCATGGAGCAATTAGCTGTCCGTCGAAACTTGCGGACGTAATTATTAAATATCTGCGGACGTTGATTACTCGAGAATGACAAACGGAGTAGTAATCATACGCACGACTTTGTCGGCGGAACGAAGAGAGTTCCGAAACACACGGGCAATGGTCAGTGCGCGTATTTAAAATCGCGATTCATCCAATTTTGTCGTCAACGGGCAATAATGTAGCAAACAGCGGCATGAGCTCCGCACATGATGCTCCGCGAACCGAATAAGAACAAAAAGACTACTCGTGCCTTAGGCGCAACGCGCGTGGCACAGGGCAGTTTTCGCGTTTGCGTATATATATCTTCCGCCTTAATTAACGAGATTTTCTGTAACGAGCGGGACCCCCGTTTATCTCGCGCTCGTGGTCAGTTCAAAGCGGCCGTTATTACGCTGACTCGTCGTGCGTGAGCGACTTGTCGGCGACTTTTCTCTAAGCGGAGTAACGCGATAAAACGGAACAGTCGAGAGAAAGAGAGAGATGTTAATTACGATTACGGACTCTCTTATGGAGATAGAGAGAAGGTTGCGCCGTCACGGCGAACCTAATCGATGGAAAATTTTATAGATCCCGTCATTAATATCGATGATGTAGCTCTCTCTCTCTCTCTCTCTCTCTTTCTCCCTCTCTCTAATAAAACTAATCGCGCCGATAATTTACGCAATAGTCTGAGCTCCCTCGCGAGGCTCGAGCGTCGCGGATGATTATATTTTGCGTTTATACACATCTCTATAATGGGATAATTAATTTCTTTTATTGATGAAATCCAAATGCATTTTTAGATTTAATTGATTTCAATGATCGGGGATTTAATTTCGCAAAATTAATTGGTTTCTTCTAATCCGCGTCTATTTCTTTTTCTTTTTACGAATTGTTAGGACGTAGAATGCTATGTAGGATAAAACCCTACCTTTCTGGCTTCAGGATCTATGGAAGTTGGAGGGAGGAGTGTGGAGCCTTAGGCGGTTTGTTTCTGAAGAAGGCCATCGGCATATGCGGCTCGCGTGCATCGACGCGACCATAGGATCCGAGTAACAGGTGCAGATGCGGCGGAGGAAGCCCGATCGTTAGCCCGACATCGCCCGCGGTGCATGTGTGCCTATTATGATTTCTTTCGTAATTAGTCTGTCTCTCTCTCTCTTTCTCTCACACTCTTTTCGCATCGTGTTTTCGGGCGTACCTAACATTTGTTTCGTTGCATGGCATGTTCCGTGCACGGTCCCGGCGTAACATGTGCTACCGCCTCGTCCTGTAGCTGTCAATGGGCTCTTCGATTTAGCGAGCGACGGTTGACGATGACTTTGCGTCTTGTACCTCGAAATGATCCCGTTGAGACGAGAATATATCGTACAGACGAATTTACGCGAAAAGTGGATCTAGTTCCCACTCGGCATT